AAAAAATGATATTGTTAATATTTGTGAAATTATACAATGCAACTGTATTCGCTGTCTCATATATACTGAAGCTCAGATAAACAGGTTAATATTCCAGATTTTGTGTCAATATATTCCAACTCAGTGGCATATGATACATGAGCTGCAGTATCAATTACTGTTACTGACATATTCATACCTCATGTATGTGTACTACTTGAATATTTTGTCAGTAGGTCGTTCTTTGTTAACAAGAGGCTGACTTGAGCATATGTTGCAGTGACTTTAGATAACCATGATAAAGGACATTCACTTCTCCTGTAGAAGTTAACAGATGGTGCGTTGCCTGCCACATGCAGACACCGTGTTCACGTTACTTACCATGTGAGGCAGACTTATTGATGTCCCAACATGGCAATGTGGTACATATATGACCTGCTCATGTGGTAAATGCACGTTGGCAAGTATTTAATTGATCTAATAAAGAGTGGCCGGGTTTGAGATATGGGTTACGGTGTCAAAGATTTGTTTGATTTTGCATCAAAAGCATTGGACACGTTGTTTGATAACAATGTTAAAATATGGTACTTGTTGGTCCCTGCCTGGCGTTCGGCATTAATGGGTACAACAAGGACTGGTCAGCTCGGAGTCAGTATACTTTGTCTGAGTGGGGTATTCATGCTTCACTGCGGCATGGCATCTCAGTGAGCTAGCACTATAGAACCAGCTTAAGCCTGGGCTAGTACAAGCAGCCGCACATACACTTACACACGCATGCACGTCGTCATATGAGCGAAATATTCTCAGGCACGACGTTAAACCCAATTTCACCTCATCTCACCTCACCTCCAGTAAAATCTGTAGGACATTGCCAGTTCATTGTGCAGGACATTATTGGTTTCATGTTCATGATGTAGGACGTTATCAGTTCATGATGTAGGATGTTATCAGTTCATGGTGCGGGACATTATTGGTTTGATTTTCATGATGTAGGACCAGGGATTGGGATAGAGAACTTTGACAATGGGCCATTTTCAGGATTATTAGCTAGTTTCTGAATTTAGAATGGGCCGCTGCCCTTTATCAATAGTAAACTACAAACTTTCAGTGGGCCATTTTTTATTCTAATGTGCAAAATGGCCCATGGCCCCAGCCTTTCCCAATCCCTGTAGGACATTATCAGTTCATTATAATATGACATTATCAGTTCATCATGTAGGACATTGACAGTTCATGGTGTAGGACATTATCAGTTCATGGTGTAGGACATTATCAGTTCATGGTGTAGGACATTATCAGTTCATGGTGTAGGACATTATTAGTTTGATGTTCATGATGTAGGACATTATCGGTTCATGATGTAGGACGCTATCAGTTCATGACGTAGGACATTATTGGTTTGATGTTCATGATGTAGGACATTATCAGTTCATGATGTAGGACGCTATCAGTTCATGACGGACATTATTGGTTTGATGTTCATGATGTGAGGACATTATCAGTTCATTATATAGGGCATTATCAGTTCATGATGTAGGACATTATCAGTTCATGATGTAGGACATCAGTTCATGGTGCAGGACATTATCAGTTCATGGTGCAGGACATTATTAGTTCATGATGTAGGACATTATCAGTTCATGATATAGGACATCAGTTCATGGGGCAGGACATTATCAGTTCATGGTGTAGGACATCAGTTCATGGTGCAGGACATTATCAGTTCATGGTGCAGGACATTATCAGTTCATGATGTAGGACATTATCAGTTCATGATGTAGGACATCAGTTCATGGTGCAGGTCATTATCAGTTCATGGTGTAGGACATCAGTTCATGGTGCAGAACATTATCAGTTCATGATGTAGGACATTGACAGTTCATGGTGTAGGACATTTACAGTTCATAGTGTTGATATATTCAACGCAAAAACTGAACTGCATGGCCTCTTGTTTATTGAACTCCATGACATGCAAGTCATACAACTGGTGTGATGTTACAGAAGCACTGTTCAAATTATTGGCATTAAACCTCCCACTCACTCACTCATTGTACAAGTTCCTCCATCTGTTTGTTTGTTGTTTATTGCCCCACTCTGCAATTTGTCAGCCATACCAAGGTGGTCTGTAAAGAGTCCTGTGATTGACAAGCATCAAACAAGTCAGTGAGCCTGACTACTCGATCAGTTAGTTGCCTCTTACGACAAGCAGAAGACAAATTATAACCTGCATCTTCACAGGTTTAGTGCCTAGAGATTTATTTTACAAAATTACATTCCTCTCATAATGATTTAGTCTCTCGTACAGACCCTGAAGCAAATATATCCAAGAAAGCCCACGCAAGTCTAGAAAATGTGGCAAGTCTAGATTTCCTCAGCTTCTGAAAATGAAGAAAGTGTCAGGGCTCCTTTTCATTATATATATATATATATTTTTACTATGAACGTTTTTTTCAGTAAAATTTGTTCATTTCAGAGACTAGTTGTTAGTCTAATAATGGTTATACTACTTCATAAAACACTGCTGCCATTATCAGTTATGAAACCATGTGGCACTATGTGCATGTTTAATGTGTCAGTAAGTGTGTGAGCAATTCCTCCAGGCACTCAAACCTGATACTCCGAGAATGGCAAGGATCACGTGGAGAGGAGTGTGATGTAGCACAACATGATGTCTGATTGGATGAGACTTAGCCAATCATAATAACCTTTTTGAGCCAACAAGTAGTCTTTTTAGACTTTATGATTAATAGATTGTGTGCTTGCTAATGCGCTTTGGTGAACAGAAATATAAGAAGTTTGTGTTAATGAATGTGGTCATGTTTTATTTGGCTTAAATACTGAATGAGATGGAAAGCTAAGGGAAACGTATAATAATGCTAATTCTGTTCAAGTGCAGAATACTTTTTCAGCAACATGCACTGTACAGCGAGAACAGTAATGCAGATTTTTTTTTTCACACTTAAATACGGAAAACTACATTTATAATGAACTCAAAGGGACCACTGTGTTTTGTTCATGTTAACCACAGTTTGTTAGATGGATTGTGATTAAAACATCATAAAATCATAACTGTTTGTGTTTGGTGTTCATTTGAAAGGTAATTTTCTATATGTTTTAGCTTTAGTTTGTGGAATCAAAGAACTGAGAAATATACATGCCTCGTTATTTAACATTCTGGGGCCTAGTGGTTAAAGCGTTCGTTCGCTCGTCACGCCGAAGATTCCGGTTTCAATTCCCCACATGGGTTGAACGTGTGAAGATCATTTCTGGTGTCTCCCGCCGTGATATTGCTGGAATATTGCTGAAAGCGGCGCAAAACTCACTCACTCACTCATTATTTAACATTCCATGTGTGTAGCTCCGATTGGCTACAGTTAGAATTTACACTGTTGTAGACCCGTGAAGATCCAGGGTAGAATAGGTCTTCAGCAGCCCATGCTTGCCACAAAAGGCGACTATGCTTGTCGTAAGAGGTGACTAACGGAATCAGATGGTCAGGCTTGCTGACTTGGTTGACACATGTCATCGGTTCCCAATTGCGCAGATCAATGCTCATGCTGTTGATCACTCGATTGTCTGGCCCAGACTCGATTACTTACAGACAGCCACCATATAGCTGGAATATTGCTGAGGGCGGCGTAAAACTAAACTCACTCACTACACTGTTGTAGCCGAGTGGTAAGTGCATTCTATCAACAGACCAAAACCATGACCTTGTTTACCTACATGGGTACAGTGTGCAAAGGGTGTCTCAGGTGTTCATGGTCGGATATTGTTGGAATATGGAGTGATCGAAAAGTCCAATCAACATGCATCTTGTTCAGATGATCTGAAAATTGTTTATTTTTGTATCTCCATGAAAAGATTGATTATTATGTAGACCAATTTCATCATTTTTCATGCTTGTCATGCTCTTTGTTTCAATAGGGTTCGACATAAGACTATTAGCGTTGTCATGGTATCATTGATGAATTCCCTGTCTGATATGTTGAAACTGGCCTGACAGATAAGAGCATTTCATCGACTGATCTGGATTCATTGAGTTTACTCTATGCATTGTATGCATGCAAAATTTTTGTGCATTCAAGACTAAACTGGTGATGATATCTTACAAAACTGATTTATGAGAGAGTGTTCAGAGCAAACAGGCACTTGGTTGGCTGAGGGCCTACAATTAGCTATGCAGAGTTGCATCCCTTTTGTGAATCAGTAACCTGGGACCATGAGTATGAATGCCAGATCCCCCTGATTGTGTCCCTTGCTTTGTCAGCAGTTTGCTGGGCTGTGTATCATGTGTTGCTTTGAATGCTGTATTTCGGTATATTACCATACTTCCGGCAATGTTGTCATACATATTGCAATATCGTGCTACATTATAGATTATGTAGCTTGAGCAGCCAGCCATCTTGTCCTTGTTTCTATAAAACCCAAAGAAATGCTCTAAATTATGTATTTTCTCAGCGCACAAGCCAGTTAGGTTGTATCACAATACATTTTAAGATTTGTATCAGTGTACTGACAAATGCTGTGTTATAATATCCATGCTTGTGAGTTCCACAAAGTGGGTAAGACCTGCACCACTTCCAGTTTCCCTCCCACATCAAGCTGATGCAGGAATACAGGTGACAGCAGCATAAGCCAAGCTCACTTGGATCATTTCGGCCATTATGTAAAAGACAGTAGTGATTACTCCGGGTAGCATTAAAATACTCTTGGTGTAGTGGTGAAAGTCTTGTCGATGCTTTAATGTTGAAATACTAAAGACCATTCCAAACCATTTTGGTCTGTAAGAAGTGATTCCGTTGTAAAGAGGTAACCATGGTAACAATAATCATGATCAAGGAAGGATGCTACAGTTGTTTTGTTGGCTGAAGGACACTTGCTATTTTTCATTGCCTTATTGCAGTATTAGGGAAAACAGCAGAATTTGAACCTTTCATAAAATATATAAACAACCATCACCCCACCACACACAGCCCATCACATTTCACCTTTGTAACATGATGCACTTTCTCTTCCAGATTTAGATTTGAAAAACATCATTGACAAGCTCGCCAACTTTGTTGCCCGAAATGGACCAGAGTTTGAACACATGACAAAGCAGAAACAAAAAGGCAATCCTCGATTTTCCTTCCTCTTTGGCGGAGAGTTCTTCAACTACTATCAGTGCAAGGTGACCACGGAACAAGCAGGTAAGCAGATATTGTTATGTATTGGTTTTGTGGGAAGCCAGCTTGTGAGAGGATTCCCTGTCACTCCATCAAACCCAGATGTATTTTCCTATCTCTGATGGGGCATAGCCTAGTGGTTAAAGCGCTCGCTCATCACGCCACAGACCCGAGTTCAATTCCCCACATGTGTACAATGTGTGAAGCCCATTTCTGGTGTCACCTGCCGTGATATTCCTGGAATATTGCTAAAAGTGGCATGAAACTATGCTCACTCACTCGCTCAGTCACTCCGGGTTCTGACATTTTTGGAATGTTGGGGCATTGGGGGTAGCCTAAACTACATGGACTGATTTTTTTCAGTTTCTGGTGTTCCTGGCCCACATTTGATTCTTTTCTGGCTGTTGTGACAAAACTGGAATATTGGTGAGAACGTTCAAGCATAGTTACAGTAATGTTAGTACAGTTATGACTTGTCTACAACAAAAACAACAAAACAAAATATGAAGGATTGACATAACAAACAAAGGGAGGTAACTCCAGTTTGCAACATCACTTAGTTTTTCTGTATGCATTGTATGGTTTGTGGTTTAATTCCACACTGAGGAATACTCTATGTATATGACAGTAGTCTGTAGGTAGTTAAGTTTTGATGGACAATCCAGTGGTCGACGTCATGAGCATCGATCCAAGCAAAGGGGTTAATGACATGGTTTCAACTACCGTAAGTTGATGAGTCTAACCATGATCTGTTTACAGTTAACAAGCATAGGTTACTGGGCACTGCAGGGGTGGAAAAACTTTAAAATTGCTGGTGTACTCCAGTACAGTGGCACATGTAAAATCACTTGCCCTGATAATTTTCCACTATACCGCCGCTCTTGTTGATTTTTAAATAAACAACATAATTAATATTGGAAAGTCAACAGGACACCGGTACAGTAGGATATACAAATTTGCTTGCCCGACAGAAAACCACTTGACTCGGCGCCGGGCAATGGGTTATTTCCACCCCTGCACATGTTATTACTCAAAATCTCAACATATTGTTATACATCGGTAGAAGCTCTAACTACCTGCCCTGAAGTTGCTTGCCCTGTCAGACAATCCTGTACAACTGTTCTACTATGTGATGTTTGAGATACAAAGCCAAATCCCTTCTACAAACTCTTTGTATGTGTTACTGATAAAAGTTCTCTGGATGTTTTGGGCTTGTACATATACGCTCTCCCAATCCCGAGCAAACTAAAGCGTCGACATTCCAGGTCATGATTGTCAGCGATGGAGTTGCAGACGTTACACCTGCTGGTGTCGTCACATCAGGAAGAGCGTACTATCAATACAAAGCTTTGTTAAACATCCACTTTCTCGCCTTGAAAATTGTGTTGTAAACAATTATAAAAAACTTTGTCAATAAAAGTTTGGGGGTCAGGCTGTGCCTAGGGTGGGCCGCAATTTACGTGAATTGTTTGGAAGATATGGATTATTGAGTTTATTTGATTTGAGGAAATGTTTTTGCTGTTGTCATTTTCGATGGGCAACGCCTCTTGGCATTGAATATCCTCCCATGTTTGTACAGACGCAGGAACAGGGACTTAACTCATGGCAGGATCGTGTCATATTACATATACGCCTTTGGCAGAGAAGTGCATATTCCATTTGATTTGAAGGTGCGCTTGTTATCGACACAGGTGCTGTTTATTGTTAGTTTTGGATATGTTTGTTATCAGATTTAAGCTAAAATTGCACTGGAGTTCAAACCTCCACTCCCTGTGAACCCTTTTGATTTTAGAGTTGATGACAGTTATCCATGTTTTGTTGTATGGTGGATGTGATGGACACTTGCATAGAAAAATGTAACATGCATATACAGAAGATGAGGAGATGATGTAATGCAAATTCATTTTTGTGCAATGCAGTTATAACAGATGAGGAGATGGTTTTAGGAAGACATAAGAAGTATATAATGAACTATATGCGGAGAAACATTGACATAGGCCTTATCGCCTGTTTGCTTATCCTATTTCCATTTTGTTATGTCGTGGAATATGAAAAATGTAAACATTAATGGAAATAAAAAAATATTGTTTCAATCACATAAGAAGTATAGCTGATATTTGTAACAGGCAATCACAGTACCTTGTTTTGTAATAAAAGCAACCTCACTGATCTGCCTTTTTATCAGGCTTCCCTAGGACCTTGTTTTGTCACAGGCAGCCAAAGTATCTTGTTGTGTCAAAAGCTACCTCAGTACCTTGTTTTGTGAGACAAACACAGTGCTGCATGTTTGTGAAAGGTAACATCAGTACCTCTCTGTTTGTATTAGGAAGTCCCAGAATGTTACATTCATGTATGCTGCTAAATCAACAGAAGGGATTGCATATGTATTTGAAGAATGATATGCTTTCATGGATTAATGATGGTTGACAGGGTGATTATTTGATCTCCTCTCTCAGTACTTGAGTAATGTAAAACTAAATAGTAGAACGATTCCTCGTTAACAGTATTAACTGGAATTTACAAAAGGAAATGTTGCGATCATGTATTTTTGCAATCATTTGCTGCAGACCTACTGCTCAATATCGGCCCTCACCTGGGAACGCCTAGATAAATCCCTCTCTATGTCATGCCTGAGACTTGTCAGAACCAGGACAAAACAAGTGCTAATTGTTGCACAACCTCTCTGTTCACAAAAGTACATGTTGAGATTTGCCTGTCATGGGTTGTAAGTCGTTGTTTGTTTAAGGTTGTTACTACAACTCACACTGCAGAATTCCCGAATCCCTCCAGGAAATGTTTGTGTCAACAAAAGCGAATACCTGTGAGATGTGGCGGAAGTGAGGCTGGCCACGAGCTGAACACACCACAGTGTTGTCACTTTCATAATGTAGTTCTCCAGGCAGCTTCCCCGTCCCGCCAAGCTTAGTTGTTTCTGTCTTCACCTACTCCACCTAAACCACACACGTTTCTTGGATGATGAGGAAATACAGTAGAATTGTTTCGACATCGATCAAAGGACTGATAAAGCGAACAAAAGTGTTTTATAAAAAACACAATTGTTTTAATTTACCATACACATTTATGTTGTACTAGACCTAAAATTCAGTGAAAGAATGAGTAATTAGTATGATAGGTGAGTTCTATGGTAAGCATTAAGATTAGGTAGCAGTTTAGGTTTCTTAGTTGATAGATAAATGTGTCTCAATGATTAGAGTTAATGTTTTATTATCATCATATGACAACATATTTGTCGTCCATCATTGAGTGAGACTTTTATGTGATGCGCATATGTACGTCCTGTCGCACAAATGTAGAGAATGGAGTCTGGACGCAGAAACCAAATTATCTGCATCCAGAGGGATGCACAATGTTATTCATTGTACCAACAACACATCTACGACTTTGCTAAGTGTTTGGTTGTTTCTCTCAGAGTAGTTGTGTGTATCATTTCATCCACCAGGCTATATGATCTACGATTCATTGCATGCTCAAAAGAAATTATCAAAATGTACGGTTCTCTACACTGTTATTTCTTAGGACCCTCACATTGCCTGCAAGGACCCTTAAAACTAATAACGTGTTTGCGAGACAAGGTAAAACCCTGATTAAGTTGTCTAGTTTTTGGAGAATTCAGGCTGAAAGTGCTTGATCTTACTTCTGCATTGCAGTGACCAACCCCAAACCCAACTAGGACCATGTGTACAGGAGATACATACCACACATCAAGATGTCAAGTTGTTACAATGTCAGCTTGATCATAATCAGCCCCTGACAAATGACTGGTTTTTCACACTTTCAGGAGTGACCTATCTCATAACAGCATGGATTAGCGATTTATTACATATTGAAATATTTAAGCTGCTTAAAGGTATTATAAAATGTCTCCTTTGACATTGCATGAATCTTACTGATTGCATTGTAAATTAGCATCTCTCAAACACAATTGAAACAGAAGGTACATTTGACCACTTTCTAAATGGCATTTTGTATTCATAACTTGGGGCCGTGGGAGCCATGCCAATTTACTCTTGTCAGAGGGGTAGACAAAGTACATGATCTGGACTACCAGTTGTCCATTTTTTAAACTTTTTTTCAAGCTACTGTGTGTGAGTAGGTTACATCACATCACTGAGTTTTTGCTGCCTGACTCTGAGAGCGGTTGGGTTCTCATCCAGGATGGGACTCAATCCTCAAAGTACTAGAATCTGGACCTAGATTTTCGAAGCTCTCTTAGCGTTAAGATAGTCGTAGGTGCCATACATTAACATTAACTTACGACTATCTTAGCACTAAGAGAGCTTCGAAAATCTAGGCCCTGTACTTTACTGAAAAAGTGTAATCCAAACATAATATGTGTCTTAAATGCTGGTAACACTCATGTTTACTTTTACAGTATTCAGCCAACAAAAACAGAAGTTAGCCCAGCAACAGCAAGCGTTACAGCAAGTTATATCCCAGCAGGGTTTGCAGCCAACACCATGGCAACAGAATCCAGCTCTTACACAAAACCAGCCTATGACACAGAACCCCTCCTTGGCACAAAGTCAAACACTAGCTGTTCCAGGCATAGGATCTAACCAAGGACTTGGCCCAAACCCTGGACTTGGCCCAAACCCTGGAATTGGACCAAACCCTGGAATTGGACCAAACCCTGGAATTGGACCAAACCAAGGACTTGGGCCTAACCCTAAGATGGGACCTAACCAAGGACTTGGGCCAAACCCTGGGATGGGCCCTGGCCCTGGATTAGGTCCAGGAATGGGACCAAGTCCTGGGATGGGCCCAGGTCCTGGGATGGGCCCAAACCCTGGCATGGGCCCTGGAATGGGACCTAGTCCTGGACCAAATCAGGGGCTGGTACCGACTCAAGGAATGGGTCCAAGCCCAGGACTCTCACAGAGCACTGCCACTGGAGCAGCAGATATCAGCAATACAACAAAAGATTCAGCAGCATCAGAATCACACAGCAGAGCAGGTGAAGCAGAGTGAGGCCAACCTAGCAGCTCAGTACCAGAGTCTCACCCAGCAACAACAGGTAAGGTACCAGAGTCTCTTCTTTGAGAAGCAGGGCGGTGGAGTAACCTGGTGGTTAAATCGGTCAGTCAGGGCTGGGGTCCTAGTGGTTAAAGTATTCCCCACATATGGGTACAATATGTGCAGCCCATTTCTGGTGTCCCCCTCCGTCATATTGCTGGAATATTGCTAAAAGCGGCATAATAACCAACTCAGTCTTTTAGAAGCATTTTAGAAGTTGTAAAGATGAAAACCAAGTTCTATGGATAGTCAACTTCTTTATTGCAATGAGTGCAACGTTTCGGTGTAGGTACGGTACTCACACCGTTATCAAGCATGTGATACAAAGAGTTGAAAACAAGTGGAATATATACATATCTGCATTGTGAGTATATATATATATATACTGATACCCAAGTTATTAGTACCAAACCAATACCCCGAAACAAATACAACTTACAAGTCAGATCATACCCTATAACATGTACATACTGTCCAAGATTTATCCTCAAGTCTCAGTTATGAAAACCAATTCTGTTACATTGTGTGTAATGTGATCATTATTTTGTTTACTCTTCCTCAGCACCAGATTGATGAAGCGATAGCTAATTCCCGAGACAAAAACTTAAACCAGTTGTGTATGGAGTGTGAGATGAAGATGGAGGAGCTAGATCGAACTGTGCAGCCAATCATTGACTCCTGCACGAAGGACTCTATCCTGGTAGGTCACTTCTGTCCTACTCTGACCCGTGAAGGTCTGGGTTAGAATTGATCTTCAGTAACCCATGCTTGTCGTAAGAAGCAACTAATGGGATCGGATGGTCACGCACGCTGACAGGGTTGACACATGTCATCGTATCCCAATTGCGTAGATCGATGTTCATGCTGTTGATCCCTGGATTGTCTGGTCCAAACTCAATTATTTACAGACCGCTGCCATATAGCTGGAATATTGCTGAGTGCGCTGTAAAACTAAACTCACTCACTCTGTCCTTAGTTTGGTAGGTCACTTCTGTCCTACTCATCTTGGTAGCTCAAACCCTATCAATCCTAGGATGAAGGGAGTCCATTCACTATCCTACTCTCTCCCAGTAGGTCAACCTTTTTAGATTCATATCCTAAGGTTAAAAGTAGAGTATTATTGGAATGGTTGAATAACTATCCTGAAAACAAATGTGTAAAGTAACTATATAATGAAAATGCACTTCTTGGCTGATGTGTCATTGTCATCACGACTCATGTTACATGGAACACTTATAGCAGTGCCTGTTACATAAACTCCAATGCTTAAACATGATCATACAATCATTGTAGTGCTAAGATCACTTGTGGAAGGAGGCCCAGGATCTTCAGATATGGTAATGTGTTCCAAGTTGACACTTGTGTTTTTGTTTCAGCATGGCAAGAACTGGCTGATGGTGCATTGTGTGACTCAGGATCATTGTAACCTCATCAGTCAGTACCTGCTCAAGAGGTGAGGAGCTGAACTTTTATCTCCCAGCAATGCTGGACACTTCTATCCTAGATTATCATGGGGATTCAAGGGTAGTATGTGTCCTCTGTCACCATTGCTTGTGGAGATATGGTGGGCAAGCTGTCTAAGGCGCCAGGCTAGTGATCCAGCAAGCTTGAGGTGCTGGATCAAGTCCACCTGAGACCGGGTGTAAAATCCTTGGAGTCACCTTTGTGTGCAGACTCTTTCAGAGTTGTCACAACCCCTAGTGTACAGTTACACAACCCTGTGCATTTAAAAGAACCCACGAATCTGTTAGTAAATGACCAGATGGTGGCCACATGAAGAGTTGTATGATCCCAAGGGTGTTGAGATTGATAATACTATGTGCCGTTGAGATTGACATCGAGGGAAAATCCACAGTGCCTTGAGCGTGTACTTATTGTATGGATACGTGCGCTATATAAATATCCTATAATAATTATGGGACACAGTATGTTCCATGCAGGGGTTACAATGTTCAATCTGAGTAATTGGCCTTTTGCCCTAATATCATCAATTGGGGTCACATGTATGTAGGTGCAGTAATCTTAAATGCAACCTTCAACCCCATTTCACTTCAATTCACCTACATTTCTCCTCAACTTCTACACCTCACCTTATCTCCTATCCCCACATCTCATCTTAGGGATGGTAGGTCTAGGATTTCTGTGTTTATCTTCAAATAAGCTTCAGTTGACATTGGCATTTTAACAGTGGTGAAGATGGTTTGCTCATGCTATCAGATAGTGGTTTGTCTGGCACAGTTTCCATTAAGTACAGTCTTGCCAACTGCAGTGAAGATATGATTCACTTATTTACACATCTCAGAAACATTCCATTGTCATTTTTTTTTTTTTTTCTTCCAGAATCACTTCCAAAGAGGCGTCCTTTTCTTTACGGCTGCATTTGATCTATTTGATTAATGATCTGCTTCATCACTGGTAAGTGCGCTTTGGCTGATATTGCTTTGAAGAGCACGATTTTCTCTGACGATTCATAATGTATCTCAGAATTACAGATATTGTGATAAGGTGGATAGTATTCTTATAAAACTCACTGAAAAATGTTGACTTGTACTCACTGGTTAATTTCAATGGGTTAGTGCCAGTTATGTGTCTATGTCTGGTATTGCTCCTTCAGTCAGAGGAAGAGCGTGGAGGAGCTGAAGCATGCGCTGGAGAGGGTGGTGATCCCCATTTTCTGTGCAGCCTGTCTTGGAGTAGATGAGGATCGCAGACAGAAACTAACAAAGGTATTCACAGAGCCGATACCCTATCACTGTTGGTTTCCCAGAGGATATGTCTCATGTATGGTTGTTCCATCTTTAGTGTGTTCCTTCAGATTCTGGGGCGGCGGGGTAGCCTAGTGGTTAAAGCGTTGGCTCGTCACGCCGAAGACCCAGGTTCAATTCCCCACATGGGTACAATGTGTGAAACCCATTTCTGGTGTCCCCTGCCGTGATGTTGCTGGAATGTTGCTAAAAGCGGCGTAAAACCAAACTCAAGTCAGTCAGTCCTTCAGATTCTATTGTTTATATATTATAGAACTTGATATGTCAGCACTAATTTGGTAAAACTGATGATTTTTTTCTAACCAGAAGAGGTTGATTTGTATAAGATCAATGTTAAATTCCTAAAAGTGGCTAAACCAATGTTTCAACAAGTTGTATTCTAATACCATAAAGTGCTTGTTGAGCTAAAAAGGAAAAGCAAGATTGATGATCCTGTGTTGAAAGCATTGAAGGGAGACAACTCTATTTCACTTGGCATGCTACTTAAACTTGAAAGAAGGATAAGGAGATATATTCACTGTTGATATTCACATGAGTAATTAAAACAATTACTAATTATTACACTTTGAGTGATTTATTGTATCTCATGTTTTTGTAGCTCCTGTCTCTCTGGGAACACAACAAATATTTTGAACAAGACACAATTGAGGTATGTCAAGGACAGGACCCAGTGAGTGACTGTTTTCTAGTATTTTAGCAATGTCACTGCAGCGTGTAGAGATTCAGTTTGTCCAGGACATTTGGCAGTAGGCATCCATGCCTCTAGATGCTGCAACATAAAATGAGCTGGATCCAACATTGTGTCCACCCAGTCTCATTGTCTGCTTGTCATGCAAGCATGGGGCACTGGGGACCTTAGCGGCAGCCTTTTTGGTATTTATTATTCTAATTCCTTGAGCTGGCTCCTGAAACTAGATCCACCTCCTTGCATGTGCCATTGTGATTAGTGTGGTGGTAAAAGTTTGGAGTGAATGAGTTGGCAGTATACAGAGGCCAGGGGGAGATAACTCCTCATACTAAATTTGGTGTAATAAAATCTGCCTTCTTAGCCTTCTTACTTGTGGGAAAGATGTTTGTGGCAGTCAAAGGAAGTGTTTGGTATTTAGATATTGGGTTTGAGGTGTACAGTGACATTAAAAAGTTTATCTCGTGATGTGTGACAGACAGAATTGGGTGATGGTGAAGTCGTGTTGGACTCACTGTGTTTGATTGAGGAACTGTGAAAGATTCATTAAGAAAATATTTGAAACCCACACCTTAGGCCTTAATTGTTTCAAGTGACTTTTTTCTTTTATTTTCATTAAAGTTTGACTTTTTTCACAAACCTTATTTTTGTTTCTAATTTTCTATGGTAAAGTTAGTAAACCTTTCTTTATTTCAAACAGAGGAATAGGTCATTTGAGACCCTTTTATTTGAAAGTTTTTGTACTATTGTTGACTAATTATATATATTGCTTATTCTTGAAATGACAGTGGTTATATTGCTCTGAAGGGAGTTAAGGATATACTGTTTGTACATGTAATGCTTGTTCAGCAAGTTTATTTTCCAACATTTCAACTTATTTATCCATCTATAATTGTTTCATGAAAGATTGAAGAGAACTTAAAATGCATAAGAGTGTGGCCAAGAGCAGATAACTCTGTCATGCCAAGTTTGGCCACCAAAACTATGAGATGAAAAATTTGTTCCCTTGGATCAATCGTGGCTGATATTCACAGTGTCCTTCAGTGATGTTCAGAAATGAAGAAAATTGTGATGAGGAAGTGGTTGACCATCTTTAAAGCTGCTTTTGGCAAATATTTGTGTTTGATGCTGGAATGCTAGTGACTTATTGTGAATAGTTTTTAGAGTTTTAGTTACATTTGGTGTTTTTGTCTTGCTTCCATGTTTTCTAGGGCCTGAAGGTGAGCTTTTTATGGCTGGAATGTGTGTCTAGCTTGTCAGCTTGCTGTGAGAGGGCGCTGTGTTCTGTCAGGAAATGTGTACACTGATCTGAAATCAGTTTTTTAAATAAATATGCATGTATTTTCAAATCTGTGCATGCATCCCACGATGCACCTGTCCATGATGATCCATTTTAGAACTTAAGTTTGTTGGAGGAGATGATGAGAGAGATTGGGTGGTGTGGCTTACTCACTTGGGTCAGGATTGAAGCTCAAGAGGTGAGCGACTGGATTTTTTTGTCCAGATTGTCCACATTGTCCACACAAAACACTCATACAAAAAAGAAACAAACATGGATACCGTGGTACCTAGTATAATGAGATAGTAAAAGTCTGTGAAAATGCCTATGGATCTGGTGGATACCATGGTACCCAGTATTTCAATTCAATTCAATTTCAATTTCAATTACCCAGTAGCATGTGTTGTCTTGATGAGGACGCTAAGGTCATAGCCTGTTTTCACTGGCCTTTTATTGGTAATACACACTTTCCCTGGTTTATACACTTCACTGATAATTCCTCCAATACGCACCTTTACATTGTCAGTTGATTTTTTTACATTTTTGCTTCTTAACTTGATGTTTTGTCTCTTCTAAAACATCACATATCATGGGTTGCACAGTAGCTGATGGTGCCTAATTTGGCTGTTCAGAGCTACTTTCTTTTGCCAACTGTTAGCTTGTTGCGAGATCAAATGTAAGATTTGCCATGACTTTGATGCTTGTTGCTTTCACTACAAAAGTGAACCCCAATGACATGTGATCGGTAGGCTTTCTTCCAACAGAAAAGCTGATAAGTCATGGTGTCACATTGAGCTTTACATGCACTCATTCACTTTATCATCTTATTCCCAGGACCCATGTGAAATGTAACAGCAGATGTTGCCATTATAATTGACCAAGGACTGCAGAGTCCCAAAAGATCTTCGGATAGTGTAAACAGATTATGTTTTTATTGCTTTTCTAGGAAGTAACTTACCTATTTACAGTGTTATCAATTTAGAGCAAGGTTATTTGAAGATTATTGTATTAGAAAAATATAGGCATCACTGTCTTAGAGGCTGGAGGGGTAGCCTAGCGGTTAAGTATTCACTGGTCAGACAGAAGACCTGGGTCCGATTCCCTGCATCAATACAATGTTTGTAACCCATTTCTGTTGTCCTTATATCCAAAAGCTGTATAAAGCCATACTCACTTCGGAGTACTGCTACCCGTGAAGGTCCGGTTAGAATTGTACTTCAGTAGCCCATGCTTGTCATAAGAGGTGACTAACGAGATCAGGTGGTCAGGCTCGCTGACTGGGTTGACACGTCATTGTATCCCAATTGCGTAGATCGATGATCGTGCTGTTTCTCCCTGGATTGTCTGGTCCAGACTCTATGATTTACAGACCGACGCCATATAGCTGGAATATTGCTGAGTGCGGCGTAAAACTCAACTCACTCACTCACTCACTTTGGGTACTGCTTGGAAGTAGTTCTACCAGTTCCAGGAAATGCAAGTGTCCGGATATGCAAGGTTCAACTTAACTTAACATGTGAAACATGATGTTTGATTGGCTTGTATGAGTAATGTATGCTGCTATCAGATTAAATGTACATGCTGTATATAAGACAAATACTTTTAGAAGTGCTTATGAGCTTATTGGTTCAACGTTTATCACATACTTTCTTACAAATAGTCCATCCTCAACCCAGGGAGAGAAAAACCTGAAAACCTTTGGAAGGGTTCAATTTCTAGGAAAATAAAACTTACCAAAACCCATGCCCCCAGCCACACACAACACAGACATCATACACATACACTTTCTACCCCACCAGTAACACACACAGTTTAGAAACAACCCAACTTTCTTGTAATTGTGCCTCTTGTCGAAAGACGTGACTAACAGGATCTGGTGGCCAGGTTCACTGACTTGGTTTACTACATATTATCATATCCCAATTGCAGAGGTGGATGTTCATGCTGTTGATCACTGGATTGTCTGGTCCAGACCCGCTCATTTACAGACCGCCGCCATATAGCTGGAATATTGCTGAGTGTGGGATAAAACTAACTCACTTACTCACTTTTATTGTGCCTCGCCAGCTTGCCTGAGCGTTGATGTTCCCATGTTGGGGATGCTCATTACTTGTATAACTGATATTCCTGTACCTGCCACTGCATTGTACACAAATCTATCACTGTTCTGGTTATGCTTTCTTTGTTTCTCAGTTGAGTTTTCTGGGTTCTGTGTATGTTTGTCAGGGAAGCTTTGTGGAGTCAGGGTTCTGGACACGTCAGTATTCTTCAGCACCATGCTTGGGAGGACATCAATTTCTGTTGTTTTGTTTTCGTTTTGTTTGTAACTTTCCATCTGATATTTGCCTTAGTGTATTTAGGTGAAGGTATTTCATTTACATTCCAAGGGTGCAGTGTAAGGTTCTGTCTGTTCAGAGTTGTATTTAAAATTCCAAGATTTTATTGCCGTTGGTTCAATTATATTTGGGATTACACTTTCTCAGTAAAGTAGATTTGCACGATATCTGTTTTGGTTGGCAACATCAATATTGTAAAGTCACGCCTTGGACCCCCTGTCCCCATCCCCTTCTCAACCTCCCCCATCCCCCTTCTCAACCTCTCTTTCCCCACCCACCCCTCTCTCTCTCTCTCTTCAAATGGACTTCATTAGGCCAAACTCACTCACCCACTCACTCATACGTTTCAAAGTAAGCATTTAAAGTCCCATCACTCATTTGCAATTCCTTTGGAGTGGACTGGTGCTAGCACAGTGGTTAAGTTTTTTCCTTTCTCAGTACGGAGAAAGTTTAAACCCAAATGTAACATGTTGCTTCTCATTGAAGTCCAAGGTTGATTCCCATGATGGGTAGGGAGGAGTCCATTCTTGGTGTCCTAGGCTTTTACATGTAAATATGATAAATTACCATGAATTCTTGAAATTATTTTAGCAGTAATTCTTTATAATAAGAAGACATTTCCTTATATTATATGATGAATAACATTTCCAAGTATTTTGAAGATGTCTGTTGTGATTTTAAGAAAATTATGTTTGTCATTTTTATTTTAGCAAATGAAACAGCCCAGCCAGTCACTGTCAAACTATCAGGTAAGTTAAATAAGCAGGTGGTCAAGGCTGCATTTGTAATACCTTAGTGGGTTATGTATGGGATTATTCTGATTTAGTGAAATAATCAAAGATTAATCAGAAGACACAAAAGACAATTGCAATTTTCTCTAATTGAACACAAGCTGCACACCACATAAGCTTATTCTGTCTTTCTACAGGCCAGTCTGATCACTTGCTAAAGTTTCTTCGATTCCGCATATGGGTACAATGTGTGAAGCCCATTTCTGGTGTCCTCCACCAGGATATTGCTAGAATATTGCTTAAAGCGACGTAAAACCCAACTCATTCACTCACTAAAGTTTAACCCTGTTTCTGTATACAGGCGAGTCTGATCACGGACAATGCCCAGATCGTGACTCAAGTGACGGCCAAGATCCAGGCCCAGTATGCCGGCCTCCAGAAGCAACACCAGGACTTTGTGAACCATCTCAATAGCCAGCTGACTCAGCTGCAGTCACAGCAGCAGTCTCTGCAGCTGCAGCAGCAGCAGCAACAGCAAGCAGGTACATTGACTTTGGGTAGCAGCGTTCAGTGTCCATTACAAGCTGGAGGGATTTTTCATCACTGATTACATTCTGCTATGATTGACATACTTTGCACTTGTCCACAAAGATTTCCCCGCAATCTCAATACTAATGATGTGAATATAGCAATGACGTAGATGGTATATGCTTATGTTTAGGGTTATGTTTACCACAGAGGAAGATATTCCCCATTGTATTGGTTCTTTGCTATAGTTAGTCATATATCACTAGGGGCGGTGGGGTAGCCTAGTGGTTAAAGCGTTCACTCGTCACGCCGAAGACCCGAGTTCAATTCCCCACATGAGTACAATGAGTGAAGCCCATTTTCTAGTGTCCCTCGCCATGATATTGCTGGGGTATTGCTAAAAGCTGCGTAAAACCATACTCGCTCGCTGCTCACTCACTGACTCACTCATATATCACTAGTCCAGTAAAATTCTGTTTGGCCCGTTGGTCCCTGCCTGGCACTCGGCATTAATGGGTACAACAAGGACTGGTCGGCTCGGAGTCAGTATAATGTGTCTGAGTGGGGTATTCATGCTTCACTGCGGCATGGTATCTCAGTGGGCTAGCACTATAAAACCAGCTTCAGTCAGGGCTAATACAAGCAGCAGCACATACACATACACACGCATGCACGTCGTCATATGAGCGAAATATTCTCAAGCACGACGTAAAACCCAATTTCACCTCACCTCATCTGTTTGGCCCAGTAAGCTCATTATAATCCTTAGTACTATACTAAAATGATAAATCATTGAAAATTAAAAGAGCCATGTTATGGCTAGAGGACAAATGTTTTGGCACAGTTAGACCATGGCTATGAAAGATGTTGTTTACATTTGTGATAGACATATTACATGCTGCTCGTTTGGCTTTCAGTAACCACAGCGCCACCACCAATCATAATGGTGCAGGGTAACGTCTCTGGCGGAGTTGTCAACACAGGTGGCCCAGTACTCACACAGTCAGTGCCCCATAGTGGAGACCCAGTGTTGGCCACCAGCATGCAGTCAGGTGTCAACATGCCGCCCACGTCAGGCCCCCAGAACCCGCCCCGCACACCTGAGGAAGACAAACCCCCACCCATGAGACCGGGGACGATGGGGATAGGGATGGGGATGGATGGAGGACCTCCCCCTCAACAGTCACCAGGACCCCCAAATATGTCTCAGGTATGCTGATGTAGGGGACTGATGTACCTGGAGATTCCTGATGAGAATTGGTTTAAAGTAATCAGTGCTTGAAGTTAATAAAACAAAATGACTAATGTGATCATGATTGTTGACCTAGTTATATATTATGCCTCATAATATTAATTGCCTTTTAAATGAATATTGCACACTGCGCCATGAAACAGCAAACAAACATAAAATTGAATTACGACTATCACAACTATCATCCACTTCGATCAATGACGTCACGATGGTCTCGAAGCACTGTGAAGTGATTTCATTTCAGCGATACTACCAAGGAGATATCACTTGATCTCAGCCACACAATATCTCCTGTGTAGTTTTGGATGATAATTGATTTGTCTCTATTACAGCCGCCACCCTTGGGCCCTGGCCCAGCATTCCCAGGGGCCTTCTCACAGCCACCCCCGGGCATGCCCCCGTTCAGCACCCCACCCCCAGGCTTCAACCAGAGACCTCCTCCACAGCAGTTTGATTACTCTCATGGACTGGGTAAGTCTAAATCTTGGATGGGGCAAGTCTAAATCATGGATGGGGTAAGTTCTAAATCATGGATGGGTTGAGTCTAAATTATGGACAGGGTGAGTCTACATTATGGACAGGGTGAGTCTAAATCATGGATGGGTTGAGTCTAAATCATGGACAGGATGAGTCTAAATTATGGACAGGGTGAGTCTAAGTCATGGATGGGGTGAGTCTAAATCATGGATAGGATGAATCTAAATTATGGACAGGGTGAGTCTAAATCATGGATGGGTTGAGTCTAAATTATTGACAGGGTGAGTCTGAATCATGGATGGGTTGAGTCTAAATCATGGATGGGGTGAGTCTAAATCATGGATGGGTTGAGTCTAAATCATGGATAGGATGAATCTAAATTATGGACAGGGTGAGTCTAAATCATGGATGGGTTGTGTCTAAATTATTGACAGGGTGAGTCTAAATCATGGATGGGTTGAGTCTAAATCATGGATGGGTTGAGTCTAAATCATGGATGGGGGTAAGTTCTAAATCATGGATGGGTTGAGTCTAAATTATGAACAGGGGTGAGTCTAAATCATGGATGGGGTGAGTCTAAATCATGGATAGGATGAATCTAAATTATGGACAGGGTGAGTCTAAATCATGGATGGGTTGAGTCTAAATCATGGATGGGTTGAGTCTAAATCATGGATGGGTTGAGTCTAAATCATGGATAGGATGAATCTAAATTATGGACAGGGTGAGTCTAAATCATGGATGGGTTGAGTCTAAATTATTGACAGGGTGAGTCTGAATCATGGATGGGTTGAGTCTAAATCATGGATGGGGTGAGTCTAAATCATGGATGGGTTGAGTCTAAATTATTGACAGGGTGAGTCTAAATCATGGACAGGGTGAGTCTAAATTATGGATGGGTTGAGTCTAAATTATTGACAGGGTGAGTCTAAATCATGGATGGGTTGAGTCTAAATTATGGACAGGATGAGTCTAAATTATGGACAGGGTGAGTCTAAATCATGGATGGGTTGAGTCTAAATTATGGACAGGATGAGTCTAAATTATGGACAGGGTGAGTCTAAATCATGGATGGGGTGAGTCTAAATCATGGACAGGATGAGTCTAAATTATGGACAGAAATTATGGACAGGGTGAGTCTAAATCATGGATGGGTTGAGTCTAAATTATGGACAGGATGAGTCTACATTATGGACAGGGTGAGTCTAAATCATGGATGGGTTGAGTCTAAATCATGGACAGGATGAGTCTACATTATGGACAGGGTGAGTCTTAATCATGGATGGGTTGAGTCTAAATTATGAACAGGATGAGTCTCATTGGTTGACTGGGGCAGAAGATAACTGAGTCTAAATCATGGATGGGTTGTGTCTAAATTATTGACAGGGTGAGTCTAAATCATGGATGGGTTGAGTCTAAATCATGGATGGGTTGAGTCTAAATCATGGATGGGGTAAGTTCTAAATCATGGATGGGTTGAGTCTAAATTATGGACAGGGTGAGTCTAAATCATGGATGGGGTGAGTCTAAATCATGGATAGGATGAATCTAAATTATGGACAGGGTGAGTCTGAATCATGGATGGGTTGAGTCTAAATCATGGATGGGTTGAGTCTAAATCATGGATGGGTTGAGTCTAAATTATTGACAGGGTGAGTCTAAATTATGGACAGGATGAGTCTAAATTATGGACAGGGTGAGTCTAAATCATGGATGGGTTGAGTCTAAATTATGGACAGGATGAGTCTAAATTATGGACAGGGTGAGTCTAAATCATGGATGGGGTGAGTCTAAATCATGGACAGGATGAGTCTAAATTATGGACAGAAATTATGGACAGGGTGAGTCTAAATCATGGATGGGTTGAGTCTAAATTATGGACGGGTTGAGTCTAAATTATTGACAGGGTGAGTCTAAATCATGGATGGGTTGAGTCTAAATTATGGACAGGATGAGTCTAAATTATGGACAGGGTGAGTCTAAATCATGGATGGGTTGAGTCTAAATTATGGACAGGGTGAGTCTAAATCATGGATGGGTTGAGTCTAAATCATGGATGGGTTGAGTCTAAATTATGAACAGGATGAGTCTCATTGGTTGACTGGGGCAGAAGATAACTGCAAATGATGAGAAAAGCGTCAACAAGAAACCATTGGTTTCAAATATAGATGTTAATGGGGTCACTTCAGACACATGCTCAGTATAGCTGACTTTTACAAGGATGAGTGATGAAAAGCCAGAATATATTGTGTTCAGGTCTAAACTAGAAATATTAAATATTGATACATTTTTGTGCTGTGTTCATTTCAGGTCCCCGAGGGATGCCCCCAGCAGATTTCCGTGGCCCTCCCCCTGCCGCACCCTTGCCACTCCCCCTTCCAGACCTCAGCAAGCCTCCCCCTGGATTCCCAGCCTTACCTCCCTCCTCCCCCTCCCCCCATGCTCCCCCTGGACATGGACCTCACACCCTCCGTCCCCTACCACGAGCTGCCGGCTGGACTGATGGCACCCCTGGTCAAGGTGAGGTTCAGTGAACTGTGAAGATCTTGGTTAGAATTGGTCTTCAGTAACCCATGCTTGTCGTAAGAGGCAACTAACGGGATCGGGTGGTCAGGCTTGCTGACTTGGTCATCATATCCCACTTGCATAGATCAATGCTCATGCTGTTGATCAATGGATTGTCTGACTTGACTTCAGACTTGATTATTTACATGAGTACAGCATTAAAGAAGAAACCAACAAACAGATTGTTCAGTTCAGACAAATGTATTTGTATTTGAAGAGTACTATGGTTGTGAAATAAGAAAGAATAATGCTGAACAAAATGTTTACAAAAGGGTAGCTGAATCCTTTGTACGCCTCTGGTGACTTAGTCCTGCGTCCTACCTAGTTATGTAGGTATGCAGGATCCAGGAGATGACATAAGTTGTTCACTGTCTCAAGGGGGACATGGGCTGATGTACCCTTGATGTTTGTTTATGTTCCCTGAGCATGAAGGGCGGGGAACATAAAGAAACATCGAGGGTACATCAACCCATGGGCCCCAAGGAACCAGTGAACAACGTATTTATCTTACCAAAAACCTCAATGGTAATTTTGAACTGTTTGAAGCATGGGTATCAGATCATAGTATGGAGTACCAGACAAGAAAAACAAATTTAGAGTTATCTCCCTTCCATCGATTTGCATTCGCAAAACATCGGTAATTTCCGTACATCATTCGTGATTCAATGTTATTAGAGATAAAGAATTACAACTACGAAGTACCAAATGAGTTTGGCATTCCCAGCGGGGTACATAGAAAATGTTACTCGCTTGTAGGCGGGGTACATTGAAAATAATAGAAGAGAGCTCAGCCAATCAGAAAACGACATTTATGTGTGAGGCAAGATAAAGGGAGATGTATCAGCATTTTGGTTGCCTCTGATGAATCTGTGCTCTAAAGTCTGGTAGACATATATCTTTGTCTTGACATTCTCATTTTGTCATTCTGACGTATAGATTACAAACAAAATGGATGTTTTGAATTGACTTTATTCACGTTTGCAGTGACTGTCAATAGACCCAATGGTTTGTCTCTGTTAATGCTGTCAGCAGTATCATAGAGATTCATTTGCTCCTCTGAGACTTAATTTAGTCACTGATGTTCTCCCTGATTGTCTCCCAGCTGGAGGACACAGAGTACAAGCCTCTGGACCCCAACGACATTCGACTGCCGCCTCCGATGCCCCCCAGTGAACGCCTGCTAGCCACCGTGGAAGCGTTCTACAGCCACCCCAGCCACGAGAGGCCTCGTGATAGGTAGTCAGTACACAAAACCTTTTTACTTCTTTATATTCAGTTTACTGTTTATTTAGGTGATAATCCTACTGTGTTTTTAAGTAACACAGGTTCAGGTTGGGATAGGGGCGGTTGGGTAGCATAGTGGTTAAAGCGTTTGCTCGTCACTGCCGAAGACCCAGGTTCGATTCCCCACATGGGTACAATGTGTGAAGCTCATTCCTGGTCACCCCTACTGCGTGATATTGCTGGAATATTGCTAAAAGTGATAAAACAGTACTCACACACACTCACTCACTCACTCACTCAGGTTGGGATAGGGCTGATGGGCTAGTCTAGTGGTTAAAGCGTTACCGCTGAAGTCCTGCAAGACCCTGGTTCCATTGCCTACATGGGTACAACGTGTGAAGCCCATTTCTGGTGTCCCCTGCCTTGATATTGCTGGAATATTACTAAAAGCAGCGTTAAATTAAACTCACTCATTCACAATGGTCAGGATGTGGCCAAAACATTGATAATATTCCAATATTGAATGCATACCGTTCCGATTGTTTATCAACAGGCTATCATTGTTGGATGTGTAGGATGGTGTATTCATGCACATGATTTTTGTTTGAAAAGACATGAGTGCTGCATTTGATATACAAACACATGCTAATAATACAGTCGGAATTGTACAATTGACTTCACGTTAATCAGAGATTTCTTTTGGATGTGGAAAGGGTTTTGTGGCTTGTCTGCAGTAAATGGAAGATTAATACCTCCTTTTAACCTGTCAGAATTAGGCATTTTTCATTGTCAGAGGGTTGCAGTGATTCCAGGATGTGTAGGAACCTGGGTGCCGTTGTACAAAGCGATCTTAGCGCTAAGGTGACCGTAACTCCCATACCTTAACATAGACTTCAGGTAGTCTTAGCGTTAAGGTTGTTTTGTACAACGGCACCCAGGCGAGACAAACCTAGGAGGAAACAGCTAGTGCCAGATTTGACATTCATGAAGCCTTTCGGTCAGAATTAGTCTTCACTTAACTGCTCGTTGTAAGAGGCGACAACAGGATCGGGATGTCAGGCTCGCTGACTTGGTTGGCACAAGATTTTGTTTCCCATTTGTGTAGATTGATGTTCATGATGTTGATCACTGGATTATCTGGTCCAGACTTGATTTATTTACAGATCTTTTAGCTGGAGTGTGGCATTAAATAGAAAACAAAAACCTAGATTTGAATCAGTCACTATGTAACAGAGATGGACTGTATCTGAAAAAAATATCTGATTTTTGTGTTAATAATAATACTTTGGTCCATGCATCTAATTGGTATAGTCACCTAAGTAGAAGTCAGTCATTTGTCATTACAGTGAGGGCTGGGAGAAACTGGGGCTGTACGAGTTCTTCAAAGCCAAACAGAGAGCAAAGAAAATCAAAGAGCAAGAGATGGCAGAAAATCCAGGAAAGTATCAGCAAGATCGTGAAAGAAGTAGGTCAAGGTCATGGTCACCACCCACGACAAGAGCAAGGTCACCTTCACCTCCCAGGAGGAGGCGCAGATACAACAGTGGGGAGAGAAGACGAAGGTCAAGGTATTTTTCAAGATCAATGTAGTATTTTTCCAACTTTGTATGTTGAGCTACGGTTTTTCTTACTAAGTTAGAGACACAATAAGGACCATTTGGGGCACACTATTTTAGCAGACTCATCCCTACTCTCTGAAGGCTGCACCATTCAACTCACACAAAGTGAATGTTAAATCGTAAGTGGGACTTCGTGCACAACACAAATATACTGAGGGGAAAAATAAAGGATCACATGACAGCTTGGACAAAAATAAAGGAACACTTGTGCTTTCATGTGATCCCTTATTTTTTCTCTCAGTATATGATGAATTCATGTACAACAGACTCTTTAATTAGTCATCTTGGGTTCAAAATTGGTTATGCAAGCTCATGTAGATATGTAAAAGACAGGTATTCATATCCTCAATCAGCTTTTTCCTTACAGTTGGATAGTGATAAAATGTGTTCTCTCAATTTGAACAGGTCACGCTCAAGGTCCAGATCAAGATCTCGCTCGAGATCAGGCTCAAGATCAGGTTCAAGATCCAGGTCTAGATCAAGATCACCACTGCCGTACCTTCCAAGTAGTCGATCGCCGACTCCAGCGGATGTGATGCCTCCACCACCTCGGGGAAAGTCACGCAGCCCAACACCACCAACTATGTATGTATAATCCTCAGTTGCTATGCTTGTTCAGTATTCTATACATGTCTAGTGTCCCATGCCTGTCCAGTGTCCAATACTTGTCTGTCTGTTCTGGCCAAGTGATTTTACTGCCACTGTACTACACTGAAGACTCAATAGACTCCTCGTTCTCCATGTACTTCAGCTGTAGGAGATCCCCTATGCCATATCATTTACTCTGCTTGTTGTATCATTGTGTTATGTTACTGGTTACAATGTCACCCACTTGTTTTCCTAGCAAAGAGTATATGTACAAGCTGTTGTGATATAGCTGGAATATTGCTGAGTGCAGCGTAAACTCACTCACTCACTCTCACACTCACTCACACTCACTCACTCACTTTTGTCAGCTTGTAAGGATGTTATATTTTGTATTTGCAGGAGTTCCTCGTTTGGAAGTATGGCCGGCTTTGACCCCACACATTCCTCAGAGCCCCGATTGGGAGAAGACAACAAGGGTCACATGCTGCTGAAGAAGATGGGTATGTGGGATGTTATTATACTACTGTCCTGGTCACCCTGTGCACTCAAAAGTACTCACTCCTCCAACAGGGGATGACCAGAGGGTGGAAACATGAATACATTCATACACTCGCAGGGGTGGAAATAACTTTAAAATTGCTAGTGTACTCCCGGTACAGCAGTGGCACATGTAAAATCACTTGCCCTGATGATTTTTCTACTATACCGGACGTTTTCTTGTTGATTCTTTAAATAAATAACATAATTAACATTGGAAAGTCAACTGGACACCGGTACAGTGTGATATACAAATTTGCTTGCCCGACAGAAAAAAACGCTGGAGTCGTGCATCGGGCAATGGGTTATTTCCACCCCTGACTCGAAACATGGGGTCAAAACGTGTAGTGTCACCCTGGGCAAGTGACTAGTTCAAATGTGCCTCTGTTCACCCTACAGGGAATGGGAACCTGGTATGTAAGGTGGATGCTAAACCCTTCTAGCAAACCTTGGCGTGTATAATCCCCCAGAAGCTGAGAATCATTGGAAAGCAAACAGGTTCACAATTAGTACCTGGATAATTGCTGTACAAACATGTATAGTTAAAATATGTAGTAATAGACTTTATCTAAACAATGTACAACCCAACTCACTCACTGTACAGAGCTATAGTCCGTTTGGCTCAAAAGCGGACCGATGAATTGCAATCTAACTCGAAAACTAATAAACATATAATACGCAATGAAACGCTGATCATAATCGAAACATCAGATCAACTCTGTGATTTGTTTGCAGAATTTATGTCCTAAAATTAAAAAAGGTGTTTAAGAAACTATCATTAAAATATTGACACAGTTCACTATTTGTTACGAGGGAGGAGTGCAGAGAAAGGGACAGCCAGGTGTTAGAGAAGCACGTGCACAAGTGCCGACAAAGTTATTGATTCATTAACCTGTGCTGTGCCGTCTCCATCCTTTCTCGCACACCTGGCTGTCCCTTTCTCTGCACTCCTCCCTCGTAACAAATAATGAACTGTGTCAATATTTTTATGATAGTTTGTTAAACAACTTTTTTTATTTTTAGGACATAAATTCTGCAAAAACCTCACAGAGTTGGTCTGACGTTTTGATTATGATCAGTGTTTCATTGAGTATTTTATGTTTATTAGTTTTCGAGTTAGATTGCAATTTATCGGTCCGCTTTTGAGCCAAACGGTCTATATATAACAGTGCCACACAGTGATGTAATATACATCTCCTGATCAAGATCATGTCATTGTGTAGGTTGGGGTGGCAAAGGTCTGGGGGCCTCTGAACAGGGAATTGTGGACCCAATCGAGGCGGGAGATGTTCGAGACAGGCAGGACATGTTTAAGGGCATCGGTATTGACATGAAGGACCCCTTTGAGCAGTTCCGGAAAAACAAGAGTCAAGGCTTCATCCAGCGCATGAAGTCTCGGGACGAGATGAGAGAAGGTGAGACTGGAAGATGAACTTAATGTCCTAGAGGGGCGGTGGGGTAGCTTAGTGGTTAAAACGTTCGCCCATCAACGCCGAAGACCCAGGTTCGATTCCCCACATGGGTACAATGTGTGAAGCCCTTTTCTGGAGTCCCCTGCCATAATATTGCTGGAATATTGCTAAAAGCGGCGTAAAATTAAAACTCACAAATATCTTATATTTTCAATTTGTTTAGAGAAGTTTGGTTGCTGTACAACATTAAGCATTTGTTTCATTCACATTACTGAAATACTGTAGAAGACTTACTGAATGTGTTGATCAGGTGCTATAGAATAAGCTGTTTGTGTGAAACGGGAAAGGCTCAAGTCACCACTGATGTTAGCTTCATGGTGCAACAGACTCTTTCCAAATTCTCTCAGAAGAAATATTCCAAATATATTTCAAATTTTACAACTTATTTAGAGAAATGACATTTTACCTTAAAACAAGGGTTGTGGAAATGTAAACAAATCTTCATTTGTCCTGTTTTGTTGAGTTTTTCAATCATTAATTCCAAAACTGCAAACATATTTTTATATGTGTAGAATACTTTCATTCGGTGGACTGATTGCAAACATTGGTTTTGAGATTTAATTATCAGTGAATGCAGATAACAGAGCTAAAAAGATACCATATTATTAGTTTGTTTGATGGTAAAAGAATTTTCATGTTTGTTTATTAGTTATAAAACAGTGTTTGACGTCAGCAACTCAGAAAAACAAAGGGCAGACAAATCTCACACATGCACATTACTTTTTGTTGCAGGAGCAAAGAAGTCCAAGTCTGGAGACTGAAGGACATTGAGTCTGTCATCATTGAATCACTCATTTTGTATATTTTCATGTCAGATACACTGGAAGAATAAATTGTGAATAATATTTATGCAAATGTCCTGTTTATTTGACAGCTTTGAGTAGTGCTTTCCAGGGCAAGGTTTGCAGATCTAGAAAGTCTTTCTGTTTAGCTAGTTAATGGGGCAGTTGAGTGGTAGATTGCAGTGACAACATACACTCTACATATGTTACATTTGGAATTACACTTTCTCAGTATCCCAGATGTTACTCAATCTAATAGAAGTACTAAAATGTGTACTTTGCTGAGAAAGTGTAATCCAAAATTTAACATGTTACATTCAACCACTTTCTAAATGGCATAGTGTATTCAGAATATAGACACAAAGTCCTTCATTTGACTTTCCCACAGTCAGTTATCAGTCAGTTGAGTTGTAGAATATAGTGACAACATACAAAGTCCGACATTCGACTTGTCCCGTTATGTCAAATGGCCATAGGGAGCCTTACAACTAAGTCGATGCTTTGTTTGAACAAACGCCACTCTATTGATCGTAGGTACAATGGTTGAGTAGGAAAGAACAGCTACAGATATTATTCTGTTTGAAGTGTAATTGCACAATAATGAGCTGAATTCATTGTGAAGTTCTGACCTGACTGCTGATATGTGTATAAAAATCCCAACAAAGTCTGGCAATGAATCTTTATTTGAAAATAGTGAATACGCCACAACAGGCTTTTCTAGAGCATACTTCTATACACAAGCTTACAGCAGTTGTTGCTTGTATCTGATACTTTCACACAGGAACATGACATAATGGCACCAGGCTTCAGCTTGCAGCTCCATTTAAATGATACAATATTTTGAAGTAAAACGTACAGGTAAAACAACACATAGTCAAAATCTAATCGTGCATAATTTCAGCTCATTCAGATAGCATGGTGTACAAAGAAATAGGGTAATAATGATATGAGTGTATAGGATAACACATCATTGATCTCTTGATACTCTTATGGGTACATATTCTCTGTGTTCCTTATCGCCAAGACATTTGACCGATATGCAATAAAGTCACTATTTTAGACTAACGGATCAACTAACAGTCTGCATCCTGTGCAAGGACATTCTCTCTGAACCAATGAGTTTCTGGGTTTCTGGATCTATAATATTCTTGTGTAATGTGTGCCCCAGAAATGATGTACATGTATCTGCTCATGCAGCTCAAAGTTTGGAAGTGGAATGTATTCCTAGGTGATAAGGAATATAGTGTATACATGCCTACGACGTACTGACCTTGAGGACAAATGTCTCACACCTCTTGGTGTCATGAACAGCTAGGTTATGCTGTACATGGTGTATATTTTCCTTATTACACAGTATGAAGACAATTCCTAAAACTCTTTAGGTATGTTCTACTAAGCTACTAAATCAAAATTCAGAAATTGGCTCAGTTGAACATTCATCAGTATTTCAATTATATATATTCATGTGGGGGCAGAAACTAGGGGTGAAACGGTATACCGTGGTATTAGTAGAACCGCGGTATTTTGCCTTCGGTTCAGTATACCGTAATGCCATCCAAAAACCCGGTATTTTCGGTTTTTGTACCGTCATTTTATTAACCTTTTCTAAAATGTCTAGAAATCGAATCATTTTGTTAAAATCTATGTGTTTCTTTTCTTTTCTTTTGTGCATTATGATCATATCTCGTATACCGAACGGAAACGGACCGACCAAGGGTTGTACCGTAATACGTATGCATCAAGTAAGAGAGTGTACCGTTTCACCCCTAGCAGAAACTGAACTGATGGTGGTCTTGAAACATTGGTCCTATGTTGACAGACCACTGATCATGCAGAGGGTAACCATGGGTGAACTTGCACAACAGACATGGAGACAGGATTTCAGTGGGACAAGGGAGTTAATGAGTGAGTTTGGTTTTATACCGCTTTTAGCAATAATCCAGCAATATCATGGTGGTGGACACAAGAAATATGCTTCACACATATGTGGGGAATCGAACCCGAGTCTTCTGGGTGACGAGGCGGCGGGGTAGCCTGATGGTTAAAGCGCTCGCTCGTCAGGCCGAAGACCCGGGTTTCGATTCCCCACATGGGTACAATGTGTGAAGCTCATTTCTGGTGTCCCCCGCCGTGATATTGCTGGAATATTGCTAAAAGCGGTGTTAAACCAAACTCACTCACTCACTCACTCACTTCTGGGTGACAAATGAACACTTTAACCACTAGACTACCCCACCACCCCTGACATAACTCATAATATTGGGGACAAAATATTGTGTTGTGGGTGACCCAAAGCACACCACCGTACCAGTACACCACACAGCCCTTTCATGTTGGCAGTTCCATCCAGTCCATCATCTCAATGACGCACAGAACTCACAATAAACAAGAGCCAATGAAATGCTGTTTTTCCAGAAAACCACATTCTGGAGCATATGCTTGGAATGTATTTGTGCACGAAGGGAAAACTCGATGCCCTTGATTTGTTACACTGGTGCCCGATCCACAAAGTGTTCATAACATTACGACCTGTCATAACTATAGTTTACCATAGGCTTACGAATTTCGTAGCACTACGAATTCTTTGTGGATCGGAACCCAGTGTGATTTCACTGTAAACTGATTGCAGTAAACAAGATACATTTAATCCGCAATACAGAGGACATATCGATCTCACGATAAACAAGATGACTATTATGCAATCACATCTATCTTATGATAACCAAGATACATTCATCTCTCAATAAACAAGATACATACGTCTTGCAATAAACAAGATACATACAACTCAATAAACAAGATTGATACATCTCGCAGTAACTACACCAAAACAACAAGGAAAGAGTGCATGGATTCTTGAAAAAGTCTACCTCTATCAGGTCAATGTGCATAAAGAGGACTACCTACTTAACCTGGGACGACATAGTATCACACAAAACGTACAGTAAGAGGTCACCAGGAGCCAAAATCTTTCAGAATGATCTTCAAGTTCCTGCACTACATGAGAGTTGCTAAATCTTTCAGAATGATCTTCAAGTTCCTGCACTACATGAGAGTTGCTAAATCTTTCAGAATGATCTTCAAGTTCCTGCACTGCATGAGAGTTGCTAAATCTTTCAGAATGATGTTCAAGTTCCTGCACTGCATGAGAGTTGCTAGTTGGGTGTTGAAAAGATGCTTTGGTTAGAGACTAAATTGTTTATAATTCTAAAAGATTCTGTCTCCTGAGAAGCTGTTTATGGCAAGAATGGACGAAGCTTTGGACGAATTAGTAACATCTGGAAAATGTGTTCATACTGAAATACATAGCTCAACACATCTATGGCATTGACATCAATCATGACAGATGAACTGAAGTATCAGGAAAGAATCATGTGTCTAACTTTGTTCTGAGTAATATTATCGATTTTTTTAAACGTTGGTATGTAATGTCAAAGTGTAAAAGTCACTCAGACCAGTCATGAGTATATATTGCCTTGATACTTGGTTCGTCTCAGCTGGAGACAGAAGAGAGTGTAACCATGACTCAATACATACAACTTCACTGATATTGTGTGGCAATCAAATGTAGACAGTATCGTATAGTCATATATTGATACACAGCTGTGATTGGGGAGTATATATTTTACCATTTTTCCATTTTACCACTATAAATTTATCATGTTCATATTTACATAATCTGTGTTTCATCTATTTGAGTCTAATCTAGTGCTAGATTGTTAAACAAGCCCTGAGCTGTGAAGAGAAAACCAGTGGTTAATAATGTGAGCATCACTATGGAGTCGGGAAGAGTTGGCGAGATGGGTTCGACATTTCATTCAGCAAAATTCCAGGTGACAACCAAAGGGCTTCACCCATTGTACTCAATGGACTGATGTCACGTGTCAGTGAATTGTCTTCAAGAACTCAAAGTAATTATCCAAAGTCTTCAGCCATATTGGCCATCCTCCTCCTATGCAAGGTACAAGGACAATAGTGCCACAGCACTACAGGGTCAACTTTCATTACTGTTACATAGCTATGTACTTCCAGTTGTGTAGTACGCTACTGTGATGTACTGCCACCTGAATTGTATCAAGGACAGAGTTAGAAATTACATGCCCTTGATCACAACATAGTTCTTTGTAGTCATAAATAAACATGTAAAGCAGAGTCTCTAGGATCATTCACAACTGTCAACGTCACTGTTCATTTTTCAGTCTTTGTCTCTCTGGAGGACAAGCAACTATCAGTCGTCAAAGTATCGTAGAATCTGTTGTGCTCTGTCTGTGTTCCACCCTGAGCCCTGTAGAGGCCCCTTTATCGCCTCGATGTAGGACTTGAGCAGCTGGGTCCCCGTGTCCTTGGCCTTGAAGTCAGCCATGCTCTCAAAATCCTCTTCCTTCTGTCCTTTGACAAACCAGTAACACATCTCCCCTGCATACATCAGTGCTAGAAGATGGGTGTCGGAGAAGATACCTGAACAGACAAAGGAGGATATATAAAGTCACATTTCTTCCTCACATTTGACTGCTAAAAGGTGAATATCTGAGTAGATTCTTGGAACTGACAGGTAGTGGGCCTACAGATGTTTGGTTAGTTGTACCGTATGGATCATTAACAGGAAAGAGTTATGCCCCTTGGGAAGGTGTGAGCAGTGTATGAAATGAGGCCTGTCCGACCGCCCGAGACGGGCTAGATTTCTGACAGACGATCTAAATTTACAGCTAGCCAGCCCGACGGTCTGGTAATTTTTTATAGATATTGCACACATCTGAGTAAATTCACCATATCTTGGTGTCTGGTCTGGTTAAATCCATTTTGGGTTGGAAACAGTTTGAAGTTACCAGCCCTGACGTCTGGCTGGGTTTGGGGCTTATTTCATACACTGGTGTAAGTAACTGTTGTTGTCAAGTAAATAGCTGCATGGTGTGTATCTGTCATGATGTTATGTGTTAGTCTAATGGCATGATGGCCTGACAATAGGTGGCTGTACCTGTCATAATACAGAGGATATATATACAGTACCACATATCCACCATATACATCAGAGCTGAGGGGGGTTGTTGAGTAAAGTTTGAGTCAGAATGTGCTATAGATTAATATTCTTAGATGGCTGGGAGTAGTTGTTGAGATGGTAGCATCACATACCAGACTTCATGAGAGTGAATGAGTCATCATCATCTCTTCCTGAACATTGGTCAGCTGTGAGTGGTCGTCTGACCGCTAGCATTTCCTGCAGGTACGTCACACCATCACGTAGATTCTGTGTTTGACAAGCGAAACAGATAATAAGATTCACCAATTTGGAAAAGGCATTACATCATACGAATCAGTACACTACAAGGAAATATGCTCTTTAATATGGAAGTATGTAAACAAATGGGCAAAATAACCTGTATCATCAGGACCGACCATGTAATATTTAGTGGGGCCTGGTATTTTGCACCAAGGCTTGATCATTCTTCAGCTACAACTCCAAAACCATATTATTAAAAACCATGAGCCTAAATATTATTGTTTTTAGAAACACCTTGAACAAAGTACTGTTTGTCTGAATTGTATATTGTATCGACATGTAAGCTGTGGTCCATGTGGACAAAGTGTCTGACCACAAGACCATCTAGGGGTGGTGGGGTAGCCTAGTGGTTAAAGCGTTGGCTTGTCACACCGAAGACCTGGGTTCGATTCCCCACATGGGTACAATGTGTGAAGCCCATTTTTGGTGTCCCCCGCCGTGATATTGATAGAATATTGCCAAAAGAGGAGTAAAACTAAACACAGTCAGTCAGACAAGACCATCTAACACCACGATTAAAACTCAAATATCACACTCTGAGATGTCAATGTCCTAATTTGGAGTTGGCCAGAGGAAGATCCAGGATATTGAAACAGTTGTGCAGATGGATACAACAATCTAAAGAGGACCCATGAAGAGTATTGACACAAGTTCATCATGCACGATACTCAAGGGTATTATATTTCCAATCAGTATTTCACCAATTTGACAAAGAAATCATGACCTACCTGCTGAAAGTTGGTCTTGTTGCGAGAGAGTCTGTCTGTGTCCGGCCACGTCTGGTGACAGTACATGTAGAACAGCGCCCCCTTCCGCCACAGAACACACTCCATCAACTCAACACCCAGGCTCTCCATTGGCTGAAATACAACACATTCCCCATCAACTCAACACCCAGGCTCTCCATTGGCTGAAATACAACACATTCCCCATCAACTCAACAACCAGGCTCTCCATTGGCTGAAATACAACACATTCCCCATCAACTCAACAACCAGGCTCTCCATTGGGTGAAATACAACACATTCCCCATCAACTCAACAACCAGGCTCTCCATTGGCTGAAATACAACACATTCCCCATCAACTCAACACCCAGGCTCTCCAGGCTCTCCATTGGCTCATCTCAAAATACAACACATTCCCCATCAACTCAACAACCAGGCTCTCATTGGGTGAAACACACCACATTCATCAACTCAACACACGCATTTTGTCACTTGCACCAAAAACTTTAGGAGAGCTTTCACTTGATGTGAAGAAAATCATGACAAAGCACAAGGTGCTGGGCAATGAAACACATAAATTGTCAACATTTTTCCAGTCAGGTGAAACCAGTCCTTCAACAATGTTAGGACAATCAATGAACTTAATTTAGTACTATTGTGTTATATTTCCTAAACGCTGCACCATTTCTTGTAGTCAAACAGTATTTACCTACTTAGGGGCATAATTTCTTGGTAAATAAAATTTTCCATCACACTGAACAAGACTGAATTGGGTATAAACTTTGAATATGAAACACTGACTTCCATTCCACAAAGTGGAAGTACCAATTTTCCTGTCAAGATCTCATTGTGTAAACATCAAGTCTGTTGTTGAACTAGGTATCCCAGTTGTGTAGATCGATGCTCATGCTGTTGATCACTAGATTGTCTGGTCCAGACCTGAATATTTACAGACCGCTGCCACATAGCTGGAATTTTGCTGAGTGTGGCATAAAACTAAACTCATTCATTCATTGAACTAGGATTCATGCAAGCGAAAGACACTGAAGCACCCATAAAATATCTAGAAGCACCTCAAGGTACTACATCATAGAGAACATCTTCAAGTCCATACCTGGATATCAGGAAACACCTCCTTGGCCAGATCCAGCAAACTGTCGAAGTATCCTGTAAACAGAGGCATCTGTCAGAGCGTGGAAACAACCTTTTGAAAAGTGTAGGTGCACTTAAAATAGATTTAAAACAAATGATAAAAATTCAGAAAATGAGCAACTGTCAGCCTAAAGTTCATCAAACATTTGCTGTTTTGTTGAACAGGGATCAAATGATATAATACATGAACTTGATGTACAAAAACAACTTTGGAACCCAAGATAATAGGTTTCTAAAGAGTCAAAGGGACTCAACAGTGACTTAGACAACAGGGCTACCCAAGCTCCCAGTTCAGTGAGTTGCCCTGCCTGACATTTACCCAGGATCTTGGCTATCCTGGAGCTGGTGGTTGTCTCTGGGAAGTTCTCGTCCACCAGCTCATTCTCATGGATGAAGGTGAAGTCGAGCAGAATCTGCAACCAAAATTGCAATTAATCAAACATTCTACATTGCGTTGACACAATTTCTAACTGTGATATAGATATGTCGCTGTCACAGACAAAACTCAATGTCTTGTTTTATTGACACCTGTGTGTCTGCTCTGCCTGTCTGCTAATGACAATATTCAATACACAACCACGATCACTGACCACATGCAATTTGAACTTAACACCAATCAGGCTATACACCATAAACAAAAGCGCATTGATTTATGGCCCGAAGTTCGGTCTCTGTCACATTATGTAATTACACAGACAGGCAGGTGTGATACTGAACACATGACATGTTATGATGTCTGTTGATTGCAAAATGTTATACACAAAAATGAGCATGTATTTACAAAACCCAACATCTCTATATATACACACACAATGAGCCGTGAAGGCGGCATCTGCTAATGAACCAGCCGTTACACTTGAGTGCACACCCACCCGCTCTGACTGGGTTCGGTATCCCGCTGCTTCGCTTCTGAGGGAGTTTAACCCAAGTACAAAATATTGCCCTTTTGAAGTTCTGTAAATATTCTAGATTGTTTCTTTCCTCATGCTGATTCTCAGAGTCAAGAACTGGTCCCCATTCTTTCTTAGCCTAATGATTGGATGGTGGGGATGGTGACAGAGGTGGATCAGAGATCCTGGTTTATCCCATTGAAACTCTCTTGAAAATGGAGTGCGCACCCCACTTTCTCAAGAGTGTGCACCCCACCTTTCTCAAAAAGCTGTATCCGCCCCTGGGTGACTTGTTGATAGTGTGGACTGTTGCTCATGTAATAACAATATCATGACATCTATCACTAAACTGCCTGGACCAGCTATAAAGAGCGGTTTTAAAGGTATTTCAAAACTACTGTCTAACACTTAGATTTTTAGAGCAATTGTTAAATTATGTATGACATGCATACATGCTCAGCTTTCTAAATATCCAAACTTTCAATAATTTATTGACTTAAATAAGTAAAATCCTGTGGGTTGATTTAAAAGAATCAGTTGAACTTCTCATGACACTACCACCAATGACAGCATTTGTGACTTGTGGGTTTATGCTTCACCTTCAGTAGCATGTACTCATATTTTCTTTATATCACAGTCTTTTATCATGAATCATAATATTTTTGTTCCATGATGAAAGAAAGAAAACACTTAATTTTTAAAACTAAAAATGAGCAACTTTCAATTATCAATAATTTTATACAAGAACAATGGGAAGCCTACCACAAACAATCACCTTATGTTCACTAAAATTACAAATATTATATTTGTTTTGCTCTTACTCTGTGCATGAGGGGAGCCTTCATTTCTACATCAGTTAATTTTAGTTCTATGCCTGTTCTATATCAGTTGCACAGCCAGTCTTTAGTTCTCTTAAAAAAAATATTAACATAGGTGATATTTATGTAGCTGAATGATAACATGAGCCTATATACAATATCTGAAGCATGAATATCCTGGCATTTGGACTTAATATGTTCAGATTTGTTCATTCTTTATAATATCTGTTAAACTTTCAGCCACAACACTGAAACTAGCATAACTGCAACAAGGGAGATAACTCTTGCAGGCATAGTGTCTGTACCAGTGATCACGGTTGATAGTGCAGTGTAACATGGCAATACAGTTCTACAGTGAAATGGAGAGTCTTGAAATCCCATGTTAGAAGCACATATTGCTGAGAACATCAACAGGATTAAATTGCTGGATATTTACTGGTCTGTCTGGCTACATACAGATCAGAGATCAGGTGATGGAAGATGCTGGTGTTCACCCATCTCAATGCCATCCACCATGTGAGGGTTAACACTGAGTTCACTATATTATTCACAGGTCATCTTGTAAAGAAAGTGGGGCAGATTTTGATTTTGCATTTCAAATTAAAATATACAGCGTTGGGGCCAACAAAACAGTTTGTTACATCTGTATAGTGTTTTTAACTGTTCCATTTGGAAAAGCTGTAAAATAATGTATTTTCACAATGTCATCAATAATGGCCAAATTTCAGAGCTGATGATGGTGCCTAGAAGAATCGGTTATCTTTTACACAAAATTTCTTCACTAAGTTTTGTTTTAAAAGCTGCAAATCCTGATAAACACTTTTTAAATTTTCAGAAAAAAATCCCACTCCCAAAATGGTCATATTTCATAGTTTCAGCTTATTTGGACAACTGGTTTTAGTGAAAACGTTCATAGTTTTTTTAAGAATCCTACCAGGGTAGGACACATGGCAAAACTCTCAATGTATCAAGTATATATAATATATGTCAGCTGGTTGGGACAAAAAGTCAAAGATTACAATAGGATGGGCCAACAATGGGTAGACAACTCATCACGCCAAAAGTTCACTATAACAGAATCCTTGATAAATCCTTTTTAACCAATGCTTTGAACATTTCTTGTGGAGAAACAGGGAAGACAGTTTGTACTTGAAAACTTAATCATCTGAACACATTTTGGGTTTTGCTGACATATATTTGATATGACCTGATAAAAGGTCATTGAAGCTATGGTTACTCTCTTTCCCATTCCCTGTGAAATGTCTATTGAAACATCCCTACAAAGTAATTACAATTCCCCAGGTGTGTGATTCATCGTCCCTGTTCAGAAGTAATTGCAGGGATTGGTCATCGGCCCAGTTTGTTCTGTAAGCGACCAGCCATTTATCGTTGAGGTAAAGGGTACACAGTACTAGTTCACTGCTGATCAGTCAACAATGCTCTCTGTAGAAACCTAGATTTAGGAACCAACCTGTGCATACTCCTGGAGGCAGTCTTTTGCAGTATCGGCAGTAATGGCTGTTGTCTCTGTACACTTCGTCAGCAGAACATCACACCGGTGACGACATGTGTCTAGACTTCCCTTCCCCTCAGCTGCAAACAATATGATATACTCTCAGGTTTATATCACTGTTTGGTCTTGTATGAAGTCCTTTATGACAGAAACACATCAGATGGGTGTTAAACCAGGAATAAAACCTTACAGTGAGTGAGTGAGTGAGTGAGTGAGGATACCACAAGTATGTCTAACATGGGTTCCAACTCATGGGTCAGAACTTGTTTATCGCTTAGTCCCATTCAGGATTCAAACACAGTCAGGCACATATTGCCAGCATACAAAGTCTTTCAGCCACTGCAGTTTCCACTAGATGCCATTTGGTTAACACACTGTCTTGCAGTTTAACCTTTTTGACTTGTAGTGGAACCTTTCGTCTTGTTAATAAATAAATGGTCATGTTGGGTAAACTACTGACTTGTAGTTTAACCCCTTGTGTTGTGGTTTAACCTTTTATCTTTTTGGTTAACTTGCCAAGCAGTTTAATCCATTGTAAGTTAGTTTAACCTATTGATATGTTCACTAACTTATTGTCTAGCAGTTTAACCCGCTGTCTTATAGTGTAACCTACTGTCTAGCAGTTTAACCTTTTGTTCTGCAGAGTAGCCTATTTTCAGTTTAAAGTAGTGCAACCTATTTTCAGCAGTTCAAACAAACAAACAAGCGAGTGCTTTTCAGATTTATTTTTATCAGCACTTGTATGTTTTTTAGGATCTATGAAATCATTAAACCAGTTAAGAAAATGGGTCTTGCCTCATGACCAGACTCTAATAACGGATTGTAATTTGAAAAGCACACACTTTATTTGCTTCCCCTTATAGCGCACTGATTACAGTCAGTGCAAGCTGACTCGATATCTCAGTGCAGTTCCTGTCCAACTTCAAGGACGTACTCGTTCATGTTGAGAAAGTTTTCAGTGCAGAGGTTTCCAACTTCTTTTTCAATTCATATCGTCACATGTATCTATCAGTGTTTAGTACACATGCACTAGTTTGAGGAATTCAAAGCAGTAAAATCCCAGTAAAAATGTGATTCATAGTCATATGCTACACAGTACCATACATAATCATTAGTATATATGTAATGTGTGAAAGGACCTGTTTCGATAAGCTACCCCACAAGTTTGAAATATTCTTATTTGACATTCGGGCTGTGCAATATTTCCGGTAAACTGGTATATACCGCTACAGTATCTTGCGATATGATTATCGCGATATGGTTCAGATTCTGCAATATATTGGGTCATCCAGAGTAAGCTCCATTTGAATTATTTGCCCTTGATGTAAATAGCAAACAAATGTGCTCTAAAAGTGCCAAATATACTTTTATTTCTGTTGGTTTCATGTAACATTTTACAAGTGGAAGTGTCATTATAAGTGGCTCCAAAATTGCCAAATAGTTTACCAAATACTTTACGTTTTGTGGGTTTGAATGGTTTCATTTGGAGGAATTAAGTGGCCTCAAACGGACCAATTTTTATTTGGACTTATTAGTAGAGCCTCTGGCTCTGAGTGACCATTTCACAGTTCACAGGATTTTGTTATTTGTGTTTGTTTCATAATGGGGCATATATCAATTTATCTTACAGACCAGGGCCTAGATTTTCGAAGCTCTCTTAGCGCTAAGATAGTCGTAAGTTAATGTTAATGTATGGCACTTAAAACTATCTTAGCGTTAAGAGAGCTTCAAAAATCTACGCCCTGAGTCTTGTAGGACTGTATAATGACATTCCAGTCAAGGATCTTAGCTATTGGAGGTCACCTGCGATTTTAATCTCTAGTAGATCAACTAAATCTTGTTTTTGTTTCATTTGGCAATAGTTCATGTTAACACATTGAGTCTGAAATGAATCACATACAGTAACAATAATTACATACTGCACTGAAGTGCATTCTGTTTAAGCAAACAACACTGACTATGAAACTCATGTTATACTATTACCTTTATCCAGTGTATGAAATAAGGCCCGTCCGACCGCTTGAGACGGGCTAGATTTCTGACGGAAGGTCTAAATTTACAGCTAGTCAGCCTGATGGTCTGGTAAAAATTTTAGATGTTCTATACATCTGAGTAAATTCACCATATTTGGTCTGGTTAAATCCATTTTGGGCTGGTAACATTTGGCTGGATTTTTGGCTTATTTCATACACTGCTTTATCATTATGTTCACAAAACATTGGTGCAATATATTCCACATTAAGGCTCTATATTATTTTATTTATCTGTAAACAATTGACATACAGTCATACACAATGGGGACGGGGAGCCTGAAAGTATGGTGTAACAGCAACTGAGAAGATGATGTCGCACACAGAGAGCTACTATGAATTTATGATGCACAGACTTGGGCAGAAACCTTCCAGTCAATATATCACAATATGTATTGCAATATCTCTTAAATTGTTGCAATATATCGCAATATGAAAACCAGGGCCATATCCAGCCCTATTTGACATAGCCTGAGAAAACACACTTCATAAAATATTCATTCCCATGCATTCCCATTCCCATGATAACCATATTCTATATATAAATATTTATATATACACAATGTGTTTCAACAGTCATTGAACATATGACAACAAAACATAGATGGCTCTTGTTAAGATAATACATGCACTATATTATTAATCTGTAGTCTCTATATTATTCTTATTGATAATGAAGTGATCACAAGCCTTTCATAGACAGAACGGAGGGGTTATAATTAGGTAGTTAGTTTGACGATACACTGACAGTAGAATCTAATAAAATTTCTCCCATGGTTCATATTTCAACACTTCTGGTGATATTGTAGTTTTCTTTGAGAGGCATTTTAGAAGTTGTAAAGATGAAGGAAAACCAAGTTCTATGGATGTCAACTTCTTTATTGCAATGAATGAGACGTTTCAGTGTAGATACTAACACCTTTATCAAGCAAGTGAGGAGGTGTAAGTATCTACACCAAAACATCTCATTAATTGCAATAAAGAAGTTGACATCCATAGAACTATGTTTGTCTTGATATTCTCGTCATGTATCATCATGACATATAATCATGAGTTCTGTAGATCCAAGCATTGTTCAAGGCAATCAATCATTTACTTCCATCATTCACAACTGACATAGAGAAACATATGGACTGGAATGCTTCTTAAAAAGTTTGAAATTGTATAGATGGGAATGAAACAACTTAATTAACGATAAATATGCATTAAAAAATAGGAAAATTATTTCTTAATTTTGGTAAAGAAAAATATATAAATTAAATCTATTGTTCACATAATGTCTTATTTAATTAATGATTTAATTCTAAAGTATTAATTGTGTTACAGGTGCAGTTGAACTCTTTGTTGCCATGGTTCTGTTCAAAAGAACTTGCTCACTCAGTCATGCTCGAACAGAAGAATGCTTACAAGATTACTTAATTTGATCAGTTTTGCTGTTTGACTTTGGTAATTTCTGGATTGCACTAATGTGAAATAATTCTTTGATAAAATGATTAGTGACTCAGGTTTGAATGAAGAGGAAATTCATCTCAAATCAATATTGACTCCCAAGTGTATGCCATGAACCTCAAAGATGGCAAAATAGGCAAAATTGGATAAGGGACGTCAGATGGGAAAGTTCTAATTGGAAATCGCAGATCAGAGGCTGTGGTCAAAACGAATTAATGACATTAAACGATGTGGTCGTAGGCAATTATCAACACCAACATACGACCAGGAACACATTGTCGTCATGGGAGGAATCCTTTGTCCATTCGACCTTATTATGATAAAATCATCGCCATATTTCAACATAAAATATCTCACTTAAATATTACCAACAGAAGACTAGTAACCACAAACCTTTTAGATACAATCATATCACATAAAACTCCACAACACACAGCAATCGTGGTGTAATTCTTATTAGAAGGTGGGCGTGGTCACAGAAAAACAGCTGATGGAGAGATTGATAACCTCGTTCAACCACTAGATGTTACGATTGTGGGCTTGTATGAGAGACAAAGTTCCAGATGAAAGCATATTCAAAAACAATACTTGTTTACTTACCCGACTGAGGTGTTGGACTCTTTAGTAATATGCTATTTAAGTTATTAGCAGCATCCAAAAGCGAGCGTATATGGAACGTCTCTTCCTCCTGAGCCGCCATGGTATCGCTATTAGCCCCAACTGTAGTTACTTCCCTTCGTTATTGAATCGACTAACCTGAATAAGCACCACAGTCGCAGAGAGAGCTGATTGAGTTCACGACAGGCCTTAATAAAAACAGCGTTTCATCAAAGCTCCATTCATTTGGCAATTCTGTTAATCAAATCGTGAAACTGGTTACATTCCACGTTTTATGTTAATTCATATTGGTTTAACATCTGAGGTGATAAAATTAGCATTTTTGTTTATATTCCATGCAGGCAAAAGGATGTGGGAAGGTTTAATCGTAAAGATATATTTTGTCGTATCTTCTTACCCTTTTGCAAAAAAACGTTAGTAGTTAATTGCGTTCAGCTTAAATGCATACTTCAATGAGCAAAGTGAAATTATTGTATCCAAGAAAAGAAGAAATTAATACATCAATAATAAAACTGTGTAAGTGAATGTTTGATCAGAGACCATATAGTAGACTATTATATGGTCTCTGGTTTGATGAAACTATAATCACTGTCTGTGTAACGCTTCCAAATCCCTCTTCAGTTGTTATCGTAAATCGGGTTCCCTGAATCTGACGCCATTTTGCAGTATAGACAAAATCCCAGCTACACGTTTAAACACATGCAACGCGACACTCGTCTTTATTCAATATATTTTATTCATTAATCTGATGATTTAAATCTTCACCTAGTTCAGCTATTCCGATTTTGCAGTCAGTAAATGTAAAGTGGCACGTGAAGATGGTCTTTACACTTCAAATAGTGAAATCCACCATCATGGAGCTGTACGTCTAACCATAGATCTTGGTGTGTCTTGGATTCGAACCTTGTGAAATCCACGATCGTGGAGCTGTCTAACCATAGATCTTAATGTGTCTTGGATTCGAACCTTGTGAAATCGACGACCATGAAGCTGTCTTTATATAGATCTTGATGTATCCTACATTCGAACCTTGTGAAATCCACGATCGTGGAGCTGTCTAACCATAGATCTTGGTGTGTCTTGGATTCGAACCTTGTGAAATCCTCGATCGTGTAGCTGTCTAACCATAGATCTTGGTGTGTCTTGGATTGGAACCTAGCCCAGCTGACCCTTGCAGCTAAAGGATTCAGCACATTAACTACAGCTCACCCGTCAACAGGGTACCCCAACGTAAGACAAGAACTTCCAGGGTCTCCGTGCACGGCGCTGTCACATGATGTAATATCGACAGGAGATGAACTCTGACCTTTCCGCTCTCTGTGAAGTTTATTAATCAATCAAATCTACCGGGACCAAGTAGATATATCCTCCCTGCTGAAGATTAGATAGTGGCTTTGTACACTTCTTCAGAAATGACTGATTGTCGGAAAGACATTTACCCTTTTAGAATCTTTCATCCAATAAACCGCCAACCAACTTATCGTCCTACACGTGGGGCGTTTGATAGATTAACCAATTGACGCTATGTCTTCTGAAATAGTATAGCAAGTAAATTAATTCTATTTTATCTCCCGGAGTCCTTTGTCTATCTATATCATGTCCTATTTCACGTCTGACAGTGGAGCCATGAGTCTTTCGTAGTCACCATTAGCCAGTCCTCACCAGACTTCCTCCGTGTACTGTAAACACTCGGAGGCTCATGTACAGGAGCAGCATTGATTTGGGTGTAGACTAGAGCTGTATGGCCGGTCCTGCAGTAGCGGGTGGTGACGAACATCGCCGGGAAGCTTGCCTTAAAAAAACAAAGGTCAAACCCCTACATGACTTAACATCGATTTATGAAGATAATTTCATGGCATCCGTCGCAATTTTGAAAAGCACTTTAATTTTTTGTGTGGAGTGACTACCACACCGCCCCTTATCAAGAAAGTGATCGCACGTGTCACGACAAGAAGTAAGATACACATGTAGTTGCAAACATACATATCAGGTCATTCGTTATTATATTTATTCTGCTCTGAGATAGCAACACACAAGTAATTTTCAATGCATTATTTGATCGGAACCATGACAAATATATATTTATATGGCAGTAAGGATAAGGCGGGACTGACAAATTCCAGGCGTTTGTAGACCTGCGGAGAATAACGTGAAGTGATTTTGACCACAAACGACCACGTTTCTTAAACCAGTTGGTTCTCCCTTTGGCGTCAGCTTGACGTTCTGTTTCAGTAGACTAAGTGGACTACCGGATTCTGTGGACTCCACTGGAGGAAACGAATACTACGAGGAAAACGTATTTTACTGAACATACTAGAATAACAGTTCGGATGTAGCATTCGAATCTAAGGTCAGGGGGATCCTGACAAGGGCCGCAACTCTGCACCGTCATGCCAGACCATCTGGCCACGTTTCCCTGGTTATCAAGGTGATAACTGGACATTATGTGATAGACACAGAATAGGTAAATTATGTTAATACATTTAAATCGACACATCCTGATCTTACTGAAAATCTGTGTGAAATGGATCTATTCCTAACCCACACATGTGTCGTTTATGAAATGCGGTAACAACTGTTTTCACAATGGTCTGCAGAAACTGGGACTCGCGCCAATAAATGGTGGTTCGTATTTTGCCATAGGGGTAATCTCCTGAGTCATTGGAATGCATTATGTGAACAGCATGTATCTTTTATACGACGGAGGCATTACTCAGATATGGATCCGGTAGAACGCTGTATGAGGCTGAATCCACGCCGCCAGATATGCTGACTGACAAGTTATTTCTATGCGGATTTGAGCTATCTGGTGAGTTAGAATTTAGCGTCGCTTTGGCAGTCGCAGACGTTTCCGCATTGATGACACCAACATCCACACGAGTGGTCCTGTCTGACAGATAGGGGGGTGGGGGTGGGGCGAATCATGGTTTCGAAAACATGAAAAAAAGCGTCATTACACCATAGAACGCACACTCCCCGTGAAGGCTATATAGGGACTTGAGTGAGTGAGTGAGTATGATTACGCTGATATTAGCAATATTCCTGCAGTATCACGGCGGTTAAATAAGAAAGAAGCACACCTCTCCCGGCCCATCCTCCACCCTATCGGGGCGGTGGGGTAACCTAGTGGTTAAAGCGTTCGCTCGTCACTTCCGAAGATCCGGGTTCGATTCGCCACATGGGTACAATGTGTGAAGCCCATTTCTGGAGTCCCCTGCCGTGATATTGCTGGAATATTGCTAAAAGCGGCGTAAAACCACGCTCATTCACTCACTCCATCCCCTCAACACTGCTTGTACCTCTAGTCCCGAAGAACCTCTGTGCATCCCCATAAACGGATTGTCCTTTTTGCATACGATTCCAGCTTTACTTTTCTTAATACACTATTTGTAACTCATCTAAAAAATCTGAGAGAAAATTAAGGCAGCAGTTTCCCTATGAAGCTTACGGATTTCACTGTCTTGGAGGACATGCTTGAAGTGTTTCCCGGAATGTCACTAAAGCATGCAATTATCTGTATGAGGCTTTCGAAAATGTCCATGATTCTATTAAGTTGTTTCAGGTTATGTCTGGGCTGCTAAAGGAAATGATGGTTTTCACTTGGTTCAGGAATTAAAAATGGTCAGCAAATGATACATAAAGTGTGTTCAAATAAATGTATTTAGGTTCTTAAAACATGTTACACATTTTCAGAAAAATGCCTGGGGTTAAAATAAGACGACAATGACTATCTTCGACATGTCTGGTTGATCTGATCTCAAATTACATAATACATAAGGGGTCATATTTCATATTACTCCCCTGATTCCGTACGCTGGCCGCATGATATACTGAAGTCATTTGACGGCTGATTTTGGAAACTTCAAAAGGAAAACCCTATTTATGCTCGTTTGATGTAAGGATTCTGGTAAATGTCATAAAGAAGCCAAAAGGACTTTAAGGAAAGTGTTACTTTCATCATTTGTAACCCGATCAGGTGTTTTTTTGTAACTATCACAGCAACACTTAAACACAGGGGAGGTTGTGTGGTATTAGCGGGCACTGTCTGCATACTAACTGTAACCAATGGAAGTCGAAATTATCCGACTCTTTTCCAGGAAAATCGATGAGAACCCATGTTGTGGAGATTAGGTCTAGCGATTTTAAGAGCTGCGTCCAAAGACGTCCAAAATAGGACTTGAGAGGAGATCTGCTATTTCTCCAGGTTGGTCGTGTCAGGGCTTGCTGCACGTGCCCCTCATGTTCCGCCATCTACCACAGGCCTGCTAATTTACATCTTGATGAGGCTCCAAATACCGGAGCTCAAATTGAGATTGATCTGTGATCTGCTCTTTCTAAAACTGTTGTCCGGCATGCGAGCATCGAATCTATTCGTGGCATCGGTTGTAGCAATTCCGTCGTTTCTTTTTACCGTTAGAATAACATTTATTGTAATTTGCTGTCGATCATTTGAAACCGTTTTAGACAGACGAAACTCATCTGATGAGTGAAAACGTTAAGAACAAGTTGATGCATGTTCTACGTGAATGTTGGAATGATATTCTAAGAACAAATATGAGCATTTGGTGGAAAATGATTCTTCGAACTTAAAAGGAATCAATGACATTGTTTACTAAGGAATTCATGTGGTCGATTTCAATGAAAATCGATTATATGTACTTTAAATTCGCTTTTCAGAGACAGATGCCATTAAAGATAGTCAAGGAAATTGCAGATATTAAAGATAGCCAGGGACGTTGGCAGACTGAAACAAACACTACCGGCGGTAAACAAGCAAACAAAAAATGATAAATGCTACACTGTTTGAATTTCTGGCGCTGTAGAAACAAACTGAATGTCAAAGCCGTAAAAAAAATTTACGCTTCCCCTGTGGTGATGTTGTCTTCGATGTTGTTGATAAATACAAATGTCTGGTTTTATTGTTGAATGATCGTCTAGGCTACAAAGTCGCAGCAAATTCAGTCGAACCATCAGCAAGCATTGTCCTTACATCTGGCAGCACTAAATGTAAAGCGATGGGTGGTAAGCCATATCACGTTTTTTAGTAAGTTACATAATTCGTGTGTTTTACCAGTTATCACTTACG